AACTGCTACTGCTGCACTCAATATTGTGCAGACCAAAAGACTCAACGAACAGAAAAAGAAGATAAGATCGATACTAACTAGAGAATAAATTGTATAAACTGTGATGAACACTATAGTGGTTAAGGTGAGTGTCCCCTTCAACTGAAAATCCAAGAACCTAAATTAGCTGTAGAAAGACACGATATGTTGTATTCTTTTTTATCAATGTATGTGGATAATTACAGATACCAATTTGATTGAAAGAATGTAGAAATGTTAAGTAGAGGAAACATCAAAAATTTCCGGAAACCTGATTAGTACTCAGATGAATCAACGATTAACACGGACACCCACACGCACACATCACTATAGGGAATAAAAAGACAATTGAAGTGAAGAAAATTTTCTTTTCGACGAAATCATCAACTAGGCTGCCTGCACATTTGTGTATTCATAATAAATCGGTAGGAAAGTTCCAGAATAATTTCCTGTCAAGGGTAAAATTCATAAAATTACAATAAGGAATTAAAATGATATAAAATAAAACTTGTGCACTGTGGTAGAGTATAATTCCATTATGGGTCAAATTTGTTTTGATAAAGTCTCACAGGTGTTATACAGTAATGTTTACTGATGACCAGGTTTCGAGCACAATTTATTGCCACTCATAATCATATCAAGGTAATCACATGACTTCCTAACTTCATTTATATAGTTCCATTATTTTTCACTTGATTTGATTGGCAGTAGGATTTTCCATATTACCGGTATGAGTGATGAATCATTCCTATTGCATGTGTTGGGTGTAGACTCGATGAACAAGGATTCAGTAATCAACCTCTCTCTCCACCTATCCAGATTACTTTTAGAATTTTAGCCTCTCCCACCCTATTGTTTGTGTGTTAATGCATGCATTGCAATTGCTGAGCTTTTTTCTAAATTACTTATATTTTCAGGGTCAACCATTCTTACCTTAGCTAAATTCTTATGTTCTGACAATCTGACTACCCCTGACCGACTAGTTTGACCTATGTAGTCGACCTCACAATCATTGCAGGGTATTTTGTAAATTATATTATTTTGTCTGATTGGGTCAACAATGTCCTTTAACCTACAGAAGTAGTCCTATCTGAGTGAGTTTGAAGGTGGGTTAACATACCATTGGAATCCGTGCTTTGCAAGAATCCGACATAGAGAGGGTTTCAGATGTCCCCTCTTTATATGGTATAACTGTACATGACTTATATTCTCTCTTATTTATGGTACTATTACTAGTTTCACAATTATTTTTATTTTTCGTTTGGCCTTTTTCGATCTTCTTAATGAATTTTATAGGATAGTTTTTTAACACCAACGCCTCTTCTGTCTGTTTTAGTTCAGCCGTCTTACACAGCAGTATTGTCTCATCATTAGATAAAGGTGCCAAATATGTCCGCTGCACGTTTCTTGACTTCACTTCTGCTTCGACTCTGTACCTAGATGTCTCTTGCTAAATAAGCTCTCGATGACACAAACTGAGTCCTGGGTCACTAACTGGTTGTATTCCTATTTCTCAAACAGAATGTAGCACACTGTATACAAAGGTGAATCCTCCTCTGCTGTGCTCACTGAAGCTGGTGTCCCCCAAGGTGCTGTACTCTCCCCACTTCTCTTTTCATTCTTCTACATGACCTACCATCTTCAAATGACATTAACTTTGTCAAATATGCTGATGCCCTAACTGTATCTTTACCTGTCAAATTTCAAAGTAACTGCTCTAAACTAAATGGCTTTTTATCAGAAATCAGCCAATGGTCCAAGGAAAACGGTCTCACCTTAAACCCCTCCAAATGCCAAACAGTTAATTTCACCTTTAGGCACAAATCTGACCTAAACAAACTGGTTAGGACTTACGAGGTGTGCAACATAGATGGCAGTGAAATTGAAACCAAGTCGGAAATTAAATACCTAGGCGTCACTCTATCTTCTGATCTTTCCTGGTCGTCTCATATCTTGACGATTTCCAAGAAAATATTCCGTCTTACCTTCTACATCAAGAAGTTAAGACATTCTGGTGTAACCCAACCCTTACTACTAGAATTTGTTAACTCCCGTATTCTGCCTATTATTCTCTATTGTTCCCCCTTAGTCTTTCCTGGGCTATTGAAGAAAGACTATACCTTATTACGTAGGATGTTAAAGGTTATCAGCAGGGTAAGCAGTTTGCCACTTAGCCAGCTTGTTAATATTCTGGTGGACAGGCACATGGACTCATGTGAAAAATGGGCAAAACCATTTTATCTATCTAACCGACACCACCCTCTTCATTCACAACTCTCCCCATGTATCTCTTCAGGGAAAACCAGAAGCCTATATAGGAAACTATATGCCCGCACTAGTAAGTACAAAAACTCATCCATACCCTACCTAGCTCGTGTTCTGTGCGATAAAGAAAGCATTAGTCGTGAAACCTTTAACTTATTAAATAGTCAGTAGAACAAATGGATCTCGTCTTTCCAAGTCACATCATTTACAGGTACAACGTTTTCTCTCTACCTTTTTTTTGTTATGTGTTGTTTTGTTTCTCTTTTCCTTGCAAACTCTACTTAAAACATTCTTGTTCTTTCTTTCACACTCTGTATACCTCGACCATTTTGCTATCGCTTACGCCAGTAAATATGCTAGTAGTATCTACTTTTCTAACACCTTCAAACACTATTTTTAAATTTTGGCTTTGCTACCGACATGCTAATATGTTGTTGTCAAAACTGACTGAGATAACTTTAATCTATGTAGAACTTTATTTATTGTTAATGTACTAACTGGATGCAATACTGTATGTAGTAAAAATGCTGAGAATTCCATTCTGTATCACAAGTACTGATTTGGAATAAAGCTATTATCTTATCTATCAAACAAAGTAGCATCATAATTACTGAGAAGATTGACACTGATTGTGCAATCAGGGGTTAGAAATGTAGAAATACAAAAATATACAGGATGTTTGGATAAAAAAAATTAGTGGGATCAGGACATTCAGTGCCATTCGAAAAATCCTTCAAAATAATATACAAGTTCCGATCAAATCTATCAAAGGGAGTGAAATCAAGACATCTGGGCATAGTCGAGGCATCAGTCATCCAAAAGCTCAAACCCACGCTGTGTATCCAAAAGAAATACGTTCATTCAACCCTTGTGCCTGCCGTGGCCAGATGATTCTTCTAATAGTGACTATCCCATTGCCTCACTTACCCAAATTTCCTGTTTATTCATGTTATTTTTAAGTTTTTCTTAATCTCTCCACTATTTACACTACCATTTTTCATATCCGAACATCCTCTCTATTTTGTCATTTTATCACTTCTACATATTTAATCCCTAACTGTATAAACAATTATTCGTCACTTTAGTTATGATCCCACTAGATTTTTTATCCAGACATCCTGTTTTGTTACTTTTGTTATTTCTACATTTTTTAACCCTAATTCCACAATCAGTGTCAATCTTCTCAGTAATTATGATGCTACTTAGTCTGAGCGTTATCCGCCCCATCCCCCATGTTTATTATGGCATTTTAATTCTTAATTCTAATTTTATTAATGCGACCCTTGAACAGAAATTATTCTGGACCTTTCTACCCATTTATTATAAATACATCACTTATGGATCAAATTTACCAACTAATAAAGAATGCGCCTCAAACGCTAAGTCAAGAAAACTGATCAGCCAAGTTGTAAATTAATAACCAATCACGACAAAGCAGGTTATCAGTTAGGAGATACAATTACATCATTAATTCAAGGAGAATTCAAATAAGTTCATTTTATAAACTAAAGTCTACACTGAAATCTAAAAGATGAACAACGAAATCTTCACAATTAAATCCTCAACCAACCTCTCAGAGAACATAACTCAATCAAACAACCTTACACGAGATTATTTATTTATTTTGAAGATTTTGTTTTATAAGGATTAGGTTTGTTTTTACGAGTTTGACCATACACAGACTGTTTGTCTGTTTTTGACATAGAACTTTGCAGAGATGTGCGGCAGTTCAAGTCGCCACACTCCCTCCATATACCACACGAAGCAAGAGAAGAAATGCATAATAGAGACAGTAAACAGAGGTGTGAGACAAAGGAATAGTAACAACCAAGAACAATACAGTTCCATTTGAGGATCATAAGTCACAAGGAGTGGATGCATCTGCACCAACCATTGACAACGATCACTTTGAGCCATATCACCACTTGTTTCCAACCATTGGCTTTTACCGTCCAGAGGACCCCAACCAGGAAGTCTACACCTTCCTACTGTTGTGGATTTCATTGACTGGTGAAACCATGTTTTGGTTTGACCACCACTAGCTCTTTTCCAAGCTGATTCATCCTATATCAGCTAACACTGCCTATCGAGGAAGGCGATGACTAGCATCCGTAACACATGTCCTATCTATCTCAATCGGTGTAACTTCACAGCCTCGTCCATTGATTTCCCCACCCACCTACCTAGCACTCGACCGAAGCCTAACCTCAATATTGCTCACTTTATTATACCACTTCACACGGGAAATAGAGCGCAGGCATCTATGATCAAAGACATACACGGACTGATATCAGTTACAGGACCACTGAAAAGCAGCAGAGAGTACTGGACAGCTAGCTGCTTCATCAGCCTAGTATGGGAATCATCGGGAGTACACACCCACTCCCAGGGTTCCAACCCAAGACCTTCTGGTCACAAGGCAAGCTCGCAGACTATTCAGCGCCACTGGGATTCGACTTCTCAATGCCTAGCCCATGAATTCTAACTTCTACCGATTTGTGATTTAGCGCGCCAACACACTTGATTATACAACTATGCAATTTTCAGCATGTAATATCGGTATCCCAAATATTTATCAGGTCGTACATGTTCATGGTCGGCAAGCGTCCTAACCGCTGTGCAACCGACGTATATATATATGTAGTGTAGTAAAGTGGTAAGTCATTTTCTGAGGAGGAATAGGAATTTTCGCAATTAAAAAGAAACTGTGAAATGTACTCATTAATAGATTAATTAATTTATTGTCGTGTATATAATAATTAAAGATTATTTTACACAGTAAGTAATATTAGTAGTAATGGTAGTAATAATAATAATATTATTAATAATAATAATAATGAAACATCATTAAAAAGCACTTCAAACAAAGATAAAATACATTCACATATTATATGATTATCGTTATTACTAAAAATAATAATAATAATACTATAATATGTCAATATTTAGTAACGTTGATTGTGTGTGTAATTAATCGCTGGATACCGTCGTCAATGTTTCTCCTACTCTTCGTCGGAGTGGAAGTAATGCTCAATATAATAAAAGAGAGGAGGAATAAACCTCGATGGAACAATATCAGCGTAGCGTAGGTGTGGGTGGGGATGAGACGGAGAGGGGAGATGGGAGGGGAGGCGATAAAATACACAAATTAAAAATGCTCAAAAGTGTCTAATTGTGTATATGGTATAGACACAAAACGCAATGCGATGAAGAGACGCTGATCAAGAGACCGAGCAAAATAGCAACAAAAGATCAGAACAGTAGAACAAAACACCAACGTTACATAATAACAACAAGAACAACGAGAACAGTGGCAGTGGCGGCGATCGCCATCACCATCATCATCCTAGTTATGTATGTAACAAATCGCCTTTATTCTCCATGAAAGCCATGTATAATATTAGTACAATAAAACAAAAAGGGGGGGTGATGAGGGAGGGGAGAAATGCGCTAAAGGAACAGACACACAAACCGGTATTTTCACTACCACCACCCGTTTCTCATCATCATCATCACCACACACCCGTCGTCGCCATAACCACCATCCCATGTACACGAAGAGAAAAACAAAAAACAACATAAGACACACAGAAAAGAAAAAAGAGCAAAATGAAAGGAAGGCAATATAAAGATTGTGTACATGTCTGTTTCGCTCGTGTTTGTCTGCGTGTGTGTGTGTGTGTGCGTGACAGCAGTAGCGGTGGTAGTGATTAGTATTCAGATTGGCGAATTAAAAATAAGGCAGATTAAGGTTAGAGAAAAAAGAGAACAAAACAAAAGACATTTCTAATATAATTACATCATAATTATGTAGATATCTGCATGTATATACAGCAGAATTTTACACACATTCAGCCAGAAATACACACACACACAGAGTAAATCTGTACACGGAAGCAAAGCACACACAGAGACACACAACAACACAAGCACAATGGTTCCATAAATAAATTAAAAAAAATCGACTGTTTAAGGAATATAAAAGTCAACCACAGAGAGACTAGTCGCCGTAGAGAAGAGGGTAGGAGAGACCAGACAGAACAATAAAATAATAAATAACAACCGGGGTAAAGAGACTGTGAATACAAACGGAACAAATAGTAAACGATGACGGTGTTGGTACATGCATCATCAATGTTACATAACAAAGACAAAAAAAACAAAATAATATTATTAACAATAAGTAATAACAATAATAATAATAACAGTAATAAATCAATCAATAACAGTGGTTAATCACATTACGTAACCGCTCCCAACCACCCTCTCCCTCACACATCTCAACGGTCAGGTGTGTGCTATCACTCATCTGTTGGTACATTCATGCATGTGTTCGTGGAGGCGATGGGAAACTAAAAAGCCGCAAAAAATACAAACAAATGCTAACTGTACATTATTAGAAATCGTCAAAAATCAATAATTAATAGTAGTAGTAATAATAATAGTGATCCAGGCGGTAAGAAAAATTTGAGTTTGCTTTACCAACTCTCCCTCTCTTGTAAAGTTCACACACAAAAGCACACATAAAGGCAGGTAGGTAGGTAGGTAGGTAAGACATTGACGATAACAAAAAAAAATGCCTAGTGAAGATGTAAATTCATGTGAATTCCTCCTCCACTCCATGAACATTTGAGATCGATAATTACATATCAAGCAATTTTATCAATTGATAGTTTGGTTCTTGGATCTCCTCCCCCACCAACCAACCAATCAATAAACTAACCCATCAATTTACTGATTAATCCATTGATTGATTAGTTGATTGATTACATAACAATAAGGAAAAGTTAAAAGGCGTCAAAGGGTGGGGGGAGACAGGAGTATACACTTCTATATTTATATGTATGAATGAGATCGATTTTTTCACAGACAACTGTGATTGTCACATCTACAATAGAGTAGAAGGGGGATAGAGCAAAACAAAAACAAAAAAAAGAAACACGACAAAGAGAGAGAGAGAGAAAGAGGGGCAGGGGGACGAAGAAACAACAATAAACAAAACAAACAATTTGGAAAACAATTTTCAAAAATAAAAAAATGGAAAAGTTGATAAACAAAAAACAAATAAATTAAATAGAATATATTATGTTGTAATATGACCTAGTTTACAACAAGACACCGATCAACAAACACACATATATATGTATAAGCGTTTAATTTAATTTAAAAAATGCATGCATTAATTCGAATACTTTACTAGAACGCCCACACACGCACACCTACATACATACACAAGAGGAAAGGTACACACACACACACAAACACAATCCTTCTCATAAAGGATAAAAAGTATGCACAAAATGGAAGGCATATTGGATGTGTGTGATTGATTGAGTAAGTGAATGAGGGGTCATGTATGGTTAATTGGTAGGCCTCATACTGTTGGAATACAATAAATAGTACATGGGACAGATAAAAATGGTTTCCCGCCAATTCCGTCAACAGATGGTAGGATGCAAAGCATAAATTTTGAATAAACTACTTTCGGTTCATGTATGTCCGTATGTCTCTTTCGTTGCATGTGTGCATGTGTGTGTGTGAGTAAGAGTTATAATTTGAAGTGTGTCTACTCACACTGTCGATAGAGACTGTTGGTGTAATCAAGTAATGATAACAGTAATAAGTAATTTCGTCCAACAAGGCAGAAAAACACAAGCCAACAAATGATTGTTTTTATGTGTGTATATATAAATTCGCGAGGGTCGCGGGGGATGGTGCGGGTGAGAAGTAAACATCTTCTTAACCTTCTTCTTTTTTTTCTCTCTCTATGCTTGTCCTTCACGATGATAATGACCACCACCACCATCATAATACATACTTCCTCCGACACCAGAAGGTACCGCTGCTGCTGCTCCTCCCGATGGTGGTAGTGGTGGTGATGACATTAAAACATTATGCTGTGGTAATGACTGAGGTTGACCACCCCCACCACCAGCGCCAACGGTTGGTGTTGGCGGTAGACCAATCCCTCGAGGAATACCATATTCAGAATAATCACGTATACGTGGCGGTGGACCAACTAATAAGCCTGTACCAGAACCAGAACCGGTTGTTGGATGATAATTGCCACCACTGGGGCCATTTCCACCTCCAATATGTCGTGAAAGTGAATCAGGATTAAAATGATGCTGTTGATAAGGGGTCATTGAATTATGATCTGGATTATTATTCATATTCGAGGCGAATGCCATAGCTGCAACAGCTGGTGGAGGAGGTGGCGGGGAGGTTGATTTGGCGGTGGCAATTGACCCAATACGGATGGAGCACGTTGAGGTGAATCTATGCGGCAGCAGGAGAGAGAGAGAGAGAGAGGAAACAACAAAAATAATATATACAAGTTTTACAACAAACATTCTGAAAATTTTTCAAAAGAATCGATTACCCCTTTAATCATCAGACTCTACAGTTGCATCAACATAAAATAATAAGTTAGATGTTAGAAAAATTAGGGAAGATAATATGTTACAAATTCATGAATTTGTCGTCTCTACTGAAGACTGGCTGGCTGGACTTGCTTCTTTTGAACACAGAGCACTGATTGTTTGAGGCAAATTGCAATAGCTTCTGCTGTTTGGAGCATGCAGTGCATGCTTCGATGATGACTTTGGCAATTTATTAGGCACCCGGTGGTAGATGCTGATAGAGAAGGATTCTCCCACGCTGGCTGGCTGGCTTTGTGACCGGCTGGTTTGCACCAGATGGTCAAATATCGAACTGTTGATGATGGTTTTCACACTACACCTTTACTTAGCCATAGTGAGAGATGTTCCCGGGAGAGCACAAAAAATCAAGTTCCTGGAGCAACAACGGTCAATATAACTCGCTCCACCACAGGAGAGCAGTTGAATTGGTAGATACAATTTGAAGTGGCTAGTTCAGTCGAGGTAGCACCACCATCGGTCGTGTAGAGAATACGACGCGTAGTTCTGAAAATTGACATATAACGACAACTTTATTCTGAACAGTGTTTACATAATCTACAGAATTTTCACCGGAGTTTATTTTCTTTTCTTCAAGCTTTAGCTTTGAAGTTTCAGTAGCAGTGGCGGGGGGTGGGTGGGGGGGTACGCGATTACAACCGGCTAAGGAAGGTAAAGGAGTGCCTTGTCGGTCGGGACTCGAACCACGGACCACGTGCACATTCAGCCAGCATTCTGCCAGTGAACTGCCAACGCACACCGAAGTTTATCACGTGATATTTTCTCTACGTCCAAGATTTTCAAATATTAATCGGCAATAGTTCTTATATGACCTGGGGAGCAAATCAATCCCCCATTATGATATTCCTTCTTTGTCTCCTTATATAAAACGTTCAGGAGTACACTTTGTGAACCAGGGACACCACACAGGAACGATTATCTCATGTACTAAATAGGATAAGCTGCCATCCATCGAGGATAATGCTCTTTCACATGCTTTAATAAGAAACTTGAGAATCAGCAGGCTGTAAATATGTTTAAAATATTTGCCAGAGTAAATGCTACTATTAGAGAGATCATACTTTCATAGACTTATTCAAAGTGAATAAGAAAAATTGTGATAGAGGTTGTTTTCGGTAGCCCAACTTTTAAGCGGGTATAAAATCAAATGAATGTGTACATTTAAACAGGAATTCAAACATATGTATAAAACTTGGACACTATGGCTGTAGATTATATAACTCCATTATAGATAAGATTTTATTTTGATAAATCATACAGTTTGGAGGATTTCACCATGAGCTGACATCAGTTAGAGAACCACTGGAAGTATTGGTAACCAATAAATGAAAATTAATCTGATCCTCACTAGCGAGTACTAGCCCTATTCAGGCAGTTAACCTGGGTTTCTAGTGGGAAGCCGTGACCAGTAGGGTAGAGCAGGTTGAAGATGAGGCAGTAACTCATCGAAGAAGAAGACATTGCGAAATGGTCGCACTGTGTCGTAAATTCACAGAAGTTAGAATTCAAGGACCATTGGATTGGATACCAGTGACTCAAAGGTCTACGAGCTCGCTCGCTTTGTAAGCATAAGGTTCTGGGTTCGAAGCCCAATGAGTGCGTACTGCTGAAGCGGCGTCCCAAACTAGGACGAGAGAGCTGTCCAGTACTCCCTGCAGGTTTTCCAATGTTTCTCTGATTGATGTCAGCTCATGATGAAATCCTCCAACCAACCAATGAAACAAAATCCCTACGAAAACCAATACTTGAAAATTTATGCTCTTTTATTTTGTATGCTGCTGAACCAGTACACCCTTCTTCACAAGATATACACCAAGCATTGAGCCAGTCGAGCGCCTAAATGATCCGAGTTTCGATTTCCCGTCAGCACGCAACGACTAAACCCTTGCTCAGCTAGTAGTAGTGAGGCCAGCTAATCCACCCTGTGAAAAAAACACCTTTGTGTTTAAAAATTCGAAGCTAAAGCCTGGTAGCCCCTTTGCGTTCTACTGGAAATGTAAAGGCAATGAAAGAAAAATCAACACTAACCAGACAAAATACCGAAATTGAGAAAAATCTTTTAGGATTTCATCATGAGCTGACGTCGATTAAAGAACCATTGGAAAACCTACAACATGGGAGTACTGAATGGACAGGTGTTTCGTTCTAGTCTCTTGAATCTCTTCATCAGTACGCACCGCCGACTGCCAGGGTTCGAATGCAGGACCTTCTGATTAGGAGGCAAACCCGGCCACTGGGACCTAATTCAATGACCAGTCCATGAATTCCTACAACTTCACAGTAGATTTCTAATTCTCCCGACTCTCAAATGCACTTACCATAACGAATATATCTTGACATCGGTGGAGGTTCCATTGACCCATTGGCATTATGTGGATATGAATGCAAGCCAGGTATATTTGATTGACCAGATAACATAGGATCTGTATCTGAATATGGTCCAGGTGAGGATAAAGCGTGCTGTCGTTTTTGAAGCCCTAAATCCTGTTAAACACAACAAGTATTGAACAAAAGAAAAAAATAATAATGATAATAAAAAAAATAGTGATTATAATGTTGTGTGGCATGTGCTACCGATAAGATTTATCAGTAGTATATAAGTTAAAAAAAACCGTTCATCGACACAAAATATATCAAACAGTTTAACTGAATTTTTAGATTTTCCCGTTGATTAGTTGGACCGAAGAGCTCGGTCTCACTCGGGTTGACATGTCGGCTTCTTGGCGTCTGAAACTATAGGCACTGGGTTCGAGCCTCGGTGGAAACATCATCACTGACTCACTGAGAGATGCAGGTACATCCAGCTGACGAGTCCCAAATAGGACGAAATGCGCATCCTCGTGGATTCTACTGCTAGTCACCATCCACCAATTAAATATATCAAATAGTGGACAGATGTGATGTCAAAGAATGGGGGAAATGAACCATTATTATACAGTGAAACATTGGGGTGGGTGGGAGGCGCAAGAAAGACAAAGAAACGCAATAAGAAGGAAGGGCAGAGGTGGCATAACAACACAAAAGATCTGTGCGAATGACAATTTGGAGATAAGGTGTACATTATTTCTCTATACGTGTATATCAGATTGCCCAAACCGAGGTGGAATAGAGTAGTGAGATTCGAATTCACTGGCTTATTGACTATTATATTCTCTTGGGTTCCGAGTGGAACACACGAGGGCTTCAACAACACATCTCCACTTTCTTCTATTTCACACTGTCCTCTCCACGATCGCCCATGGTCTCTCATCCCCTCCTCCTCCTCCTCCTCACCATAGGATCTCCTCCATGTCAACCTCGCACCGACGACCCACTCGTCGATTCCCGTTTGGATTCTACTCGACCGATGGTCTACTTTGCGTGCGATGTCATTCGACAAACAGCCTCCTCAATGTATGCCCGACCGATCCATTTCCATTTTCGGCTACATATTCGTTGAGCAATCATCATCTTTCGCCTATTGGTTTGTTCCCAGCCAGCCAGCCAGAGTTTCTGTTTTTGGTAATTCTGGCTGATTGACCATTTGATCCTCGGTATGGAGCGAAAGTAGCTGTTGATAAAGGTCTGTAACAGGCGCTGTTGGAAGTCCTTTTCGTGTGACATGCTGGCCAAGTTTCTGACCAGCATAGAAACTCGTTGCTTTCCATTGAAATTCAACTCGACCACCTATTGACTAGTAAAGCCAAATAGTGCTAAAGCTAATAAATATAATGAGCTGCATCTCTAAACAGTCATCATTAACATACACGAGAAAAGAGGGTAAAATAGATAGAAGTTCAGACAATGAGACTTATGTTATTTCTTCACATCTACACACAAGCTATACACACAAACTAGGGGAAATGGGTGATCACTAGACATGCTTTTATTACTACATTGCTGATAGACAATATCGATTTTTTGGAAATTCATAAGTCTTATTCTGTTATCGTTTCTTTTCCTAATATTTCATTCCTGTATATTATCAATATTCCTTCGGGTTCCGAGTGGAACAATGGGCTTTCAATAGTACATTTTCATTCCACCGTGTTCTCTACAGGTTCTACTTGACTGGCTTCACGATTGCTTCATTTCATTCGGAATATTTATTGAGCGATAAGTTTTTGGTTGGTTCATTGCCCTCCCAGGGTTTCTTGTTTCTAATACTTTCTGGTAAGCCAGCCAGCCGGCCGGCCACATATGATCTTCAGTATGGAGCCAACGAAGAAGGCAGCTGTTGGCAAAAGTTTGTATTAGCCTGTTAAAAATGATTTTCGTGACAACGCAAACACCAAGTCTCTAAAATGATTAATTTCACATAGGTGTTGGGAATCAGAGTTTTGTTCAGAAGATTTCGAAACTTGATCTGCATGTGATGAAAGTCTGTCTTATCTTTTCTATTTCGGTTTCAGCATCCTCATCTGTGTGGAGTTGGCTGTAGTTAAAACGCCCCTGATTAGCTAGACAAGTCAAGGAAGTGACCTATTTCAAATTTGTCCCATTGATAGTGACAGATACCGCTTGTTGTTTATTTTCATCACTTCCGTCCCCTCTGTTTTCTTTTGAAGTCCTTGTCCTTGTCGCATGGTTCTTTCCCTGCCAGTTTGCTGGTTTTTGCCTGCCTACCTGTCTGCAAGTCTTCGAGTTTGTGTGACATTAAACATAAATCGTCCACGCGCGAAATCCAGATCTTCTGGAGTTTTCTTATCGGCCGGTCCAACGTATTTCTGTCTTCTCACATCCTGTGCACAATCTGACGCACAATCATCCAGTTAGTTCACCACAATTAAGCATGCCATCGGTGATCATAAGTAGCCTTATTTTACTCCTGTATTCATTTCGAACGCCTCGTTGAGATTTCCTTTGTGAGTCCCTTGACATGTGGCATCGTCCATATAGAACAGTTGAATGAGGTTGATAAATGTTTCTGAATGTTAAGGTTAAAAACCAGATAGGAATAGTCGAATGTTGCACTCTAGTCTGGGACTCTTCAGTATGAAACACTCATGAGCCCATCTGGGGTCGAAATGAGTAAGTTATTATTAAGCCATAAGGTTGAGGAACCAAATCACCTCGGACACTAAACTTCTGTCGTTACCAAGTCATCATCATTAGTCAGATTTATCAGTGAGTACCTACCTGACCTCATTCATATCCACCACTCGGTGTAAGTCATTGATCACAAGACATTTCGAAACAAAGTGCAACTTTAAGATTATTGTGTAGTTAAGTCGAATAAAGCGAAGACTTTATGTTTATTACGGCACATAGATAACCCAACGACGCGCGTCGGTGGCCCAGTGGTAGAATGTGCTCGCCAACCACGCTTTTCACGTGATCCGCGGTTCGACCCCTCCCATAAACACAATCATCCTAAACCTCACCAGCAAACAATCACACCCCAAAATGAAAACTATTTAAATAAAAAACTTACCATTTGAGAGTCTCGAATCGATTGAGATTGATTCTGTAGACGCTCCATACCACCACCGCCGGCACCACCACCATTATCCTGTATATTAGAGTCATGAATTGCTTCAGATCCACCACCACCAGACATATCTCCAGTTTGACGTTCTTGTTGCTGTTGTTGCTGTGATTGTTTACGTCTTCTACGACGATGATGTCGATGACTACCACCACCACCTGCTCCTGGACTACCACCAGCATCTGTTGCTGTGCCACCACCACCATTAATATCAGCAGTTTGAATCCCAGAGTCCACATAACCCGGAGCATTATCACCTTGATTCATCTTATTGCACAAATAGATAAAGGAATCAAAGGAAGAAAGAAGGAAAAAAGAAAAAATCAATAAAAGACAGTATTCAACGAAGAAAATTTTCTTTATCGAGGAAATCATCTCTTTTCAGAGAGGTTGTTGTACACAATCGTATTTATACATACCAAGAAAAGTGTGTAGTAGTTCATGGATCCACTTTTATTTCATTGGTCGTTAGGGTGGTAATAAAGGCCAAGCTGAACTTTAGGCACCACTAACTACCAATCAACGAACGACCTTGAAACTTACTGGACCATTCAAAGTCGCTCGTTGATTGGTAGTTAATGGTGCTTAAAGTTTAACTTGACCGTAATAAATATGAGTAACAGTCACGTAGTTTGATGATGATGAGAGAAGACCAAAATCTGATGTGCAAGAGATCTATTGAAAAGGTAATGACGATGACCTAATACGGTGGGTTGAACTCAGCATGTCATGAAATCAAACGGAGAAGAAGGGAATCGGTGGGGCGGGCGATGGGTAGTGAAAAGATAAGTTAGTGAAATGAGAAAACGAGCAGTTACTACTAAGGGATGAATCACCAGGGTAACTGAAGCCTGACAATAGATTCCTTTTGAATTCATAGGCCGTTGAATTGCTTCCCAGTGACTTACCAGCATTGTGTAAGAATCTTTCTTACACACAGGTTGGGGGGCTGAGGGCGAAGTCGTACTGCCACTGGGGAACAAGGGTGTAACAGCAGTGAGGTATTTCCTTCAGATGACCAGCATGATGGTCAGCTATGCTGTCTCTTCACTTTGCCGGAGAGAGGGGGTTATAAAAGGTTGACCTTAAAAATTGTACATCCCGACTTACCCCACCTACGGTAGTCCATAACCGGTAGTAAGTTTACTAATACGGAACCAATCCCAGAAACCAGTTCATACAGGCCATGTGTGACCGACCAGCCTCAAGCAGTTTTCCTCTGGACTCTGTGGTCACGCAACACTGCCTCTCTTTCTGTTTCAGGTACGTGCCCGAAGAATTAATCAACTTCCACGGTGTGGGCAGCTGAGAATTAACCAACCGCCCACACACTTCCCAAAGTACACGAAGCATCCTTCCTGAGCATCATTCTTCCCAGTGACTGTGAATGATCTAAGAGCTTGGTATTGTAACCGGAAGCTCTCAAGAGGCGGGGGGGGCGGGTTGAAGCCCAGTGGAGTGAGTACTGACGATGATTCCGGGAATTAGGATGCAACAACTGTCCAGTACTCTCTGGTTCTCATTCAGTGGGTTTTTTCTAACTGATCAAATCCTTACTAGCCGACTCTTCAAATGGAATAAATAAATTCCAAAAATAACACACTGAAAGTACCCATTGAATCATACAGAAAATAAAAGGCAATTCATCAGGCAAAAAAACTCCCTTTACCGACAAAATCATCTCTTCGCAGGCTGCACCATTGTAGTATTGACAGTTACCAAAAAATACGTATATTAGTCCATTATTGAGTAATAGAACCTCGCTTAGATTACTAGCTTGCTAGTTTTCTAGCCGATCGATCCCAAGCCCGGATAAAAAGGCAAGGTTGGGGCGTGGTACTAGCAACTCCACCCCCAAAACTTAACCAAATCGCTACAGAAACTTCAACGCACAAATATATTAAAAATACAAAAAATATAAACAATAACCTTATTTTTCGTTGGAATCGGGGAAGTGAAATGATGCAGGCTGGTGATAGCCTTCAGGAAGCCAGTCAGCAGGTGTGCCTTCTTTCGATGAAAGCAAAATTAAGGATGGGTACGTGGAATGTTCGTACAGTGTACGTGTAACAACAGAAGACAAGGGCCAGACAACAGATCGTTTTATTATGGAAATCAACACGTATTTATACATATTTCACATACATTATTACAGACAAGCGCATTCATCTGATTGGTTGTTTATCAGAAGTTAAGCAGACAAACACAGGCTTCTGATTGGTTGTTTCGGGATTCCTCGACAAATAGAGTTCTCTATCTGCGAATCATATTTTGCCACGTTAACTTTGCTGTGATTGGTTGTTGAATCAGCCTTGCTCATATTTTCTCACGGCCTGCTCTCACCACATACGAAACTGGAAAGGCTGTCTAGGTAGCCACAGAAATGAGAAGATATAGAATATAAGTGTTGGAAATCTGCGAGAGCAGATCGAACGGATGTGGTAGGTGCTAATTACCAACTGGGGAGACAGTAATCCATTCCGGTCACCCAGAAGACAATCACGAGCACACCGAGGAGGTAGCCATCATGATATCGCCAACAACAGCAGTGGGAACTAATCTCCTCCAGGATAATGATAGCCAGGTTCAACTCAAAACGAAGAAAGCTTACAATCATTCAATGCTATGCGCTTTTCGCTCTATAGTGAAGATCAGATGGCCGTCCCGGAAAGAATCACCAACAAGAAACTATGGGAAGGAACTAACAAAACAAGAACAATCAATCGCCAACCAACAAATATGCAGGAGAAAGTGGAGATGGATTGGACACTCGCTGAGGAGGCCGGGCCGCTGGGTGACATTGCGCGCGCATCAGGCCACCGTTCGAGTGGAACCAGGCCGAAAGGGAAGCAAGCGGCGAGTGGGACGTCAGTGTAAGGGTGATGACATGAAGGAGATCGTGTGGAGAGGAGTTGAAACAGTATGGACTAACTAACATGGATGCAGGTGAAAAGTACAGCAGAAGCAAGAGAGAAGCAAGTGGAGATGTTCAGTTAAAGCCCTATGTTCCACTAGGAACCTAAGGGAACAATAATAATAAATAATGATTGAGTAAAAGGCAACGAATAGGGGGTTTGGAATAATTGATATAATTACTCAGAAGTGGCTTCAAAAGTAAAAATTTTTTAAGAAGAAAAACTGGAGAACTACGTAATACTCAACATCACAAAGGAAGAAAGCGTTAGATATTTGATAAGCTTAAAATTGCTTTTTTTTGAGTGAGAAGAAAGGTAGTTGAGTGTGTGTGTCCATTTAACAACTGTGAAAAGTGTGAGAGAATGTACGTCATAGGGAACATGTGAGAGTGATAAAAATGGGAAGTGATCATTAAATTTACTGGGAACGACGAATGAAATGGGGTTAAGACCATGCTAGAATAAGAAACTGGACAAACTTTTCCTGTGGTATACAGAATTCGCGTTTGTATCTCGTCAACGCCTCCGTGCCACACACACACACACAAACATGCTGCTTAATCTTAAAAGACGACTCTAGTGTAATCCCGTTATGCGTAAAATTTATTTTGATAAGGTCTCATAGTTTTATACAGTAATACTTACTGATGACCACGTTTTGAGGATAATTTATTACTGCTCATAATCATATCAAGGCAGTATTCGCACAATTTTCTAAATTCGTTTATATAATTCCATTATTTTTCATCGCTTGATTTGACTGCTAGTAGTATTTTCCATATTTCAGGTATGAGTGATAAATCATTCCTATTGCATGTGTTGGGTGTAGACTCGATGAACAAGGATTTAGTAATCAACTTCTCTCTCACTCTCCACCTACCTAGATTACTTTTTAGAATTTTAGGCCTCTCCCACCCTATTGTGTCGTTGTGTGTTAATGCATGCAGTGCAGTGGGGTCAACCATTCTTTCCTTAGCTAAATTCTTATGTTCTGATAATCTGACTAACCCCCACCCGATCTACTAGTTTGACCTGTGTACTTGAATTATGTTATTTTGTTTAATTAGGTCAACCTGTAGAGAGTCCTTTAACCTATACAGCTTGTCCTATCTGAGTGTGTTTGTAGGTTTAAATGCCAATCTAATTCTTATTTTATCAAAAATCCTACGTAGGGTCTCGATGTCGCCTCCTTATATGATGGAACTGTACATGCCTTATATCCTTTCTTATTTATGTTATCATTACTAGTTTTTATTTCGCTTTTGGTCTTTACTGATCATCTTCCTAATGAATTTTATAGGAGAGTTATTTGATACCAACGCTTCTTCTATGCGTTTTATTTCGTCATTTAGGTTTTTTCTTGTACTACTTAGCAGAGTTATTCTTCGATTTGCTAGACACTTAACTAAGCCGCCTGCCTTAACAATTAACGGATGAGATGAATTAAAGTCTGAATATCTATTTACCTGAATGCACTGGTTTTTTTTTTTATAAAAATGCTAGTGTGTACAGTTTACCTTCTCCTGTTCGTTTTATGTTACAATCTAACATCATAGCTAATTCTCCTTGTTCATTTTCTAATTCAAACGTGAACTTTATTCCCCTCTACTAGTGAGTTTATGGGTGTGTGTGTGTGTGTGTCAAGAAGCTAGAAACAGAGATATGTGTGAGTGCTGCCTTGATATGATTATGAGCAGCAGTAAAATTGTTCTCGAACCGTCGTCATCAGTAAATATTATTGTATAACAACACACTGTGAGACTTTCTTTGTCAAAATAAATTTTATGCATAATGGAATTATTATACTCTACCGCCAAAGTGTACAAGTTTTATTCTTATATCAATGACTCTAGTGTAAGCAGGCTGCTGCATGGCCTGAGTTGTTCACTACCAAGTAACCAATGAAACACTAATAAAATGAATTGTACGTCAAACCTCCCCTCCCCTGCATCCATTATTACCACAGCAATAACAACACACCCGTATAGGAGAAAACAAATACGAAGAATTATCGGCATACAGCTATTAACTGCAAGTTTTATTATTCTCTTTTTTTTTAATGTGTGGAGCCAATGGTATACTTAAAATTTAATTGTTTTATGAAGCGAGGAAGACAAGAAGTAATAAAGAGTTTTATCCTACAAGTTATTCTTGTTGGTATTTATCATAATAGGCATGTTTTAAATCAAAACTTGTTGTGTAATTGCCACAATCAACTATTTTGTTTGTTTGTTTCTTTTGGAAGCCTGTTTGTTTATTTACCGTCAGTAAATTATGAGTTTAAAGGAAAATGTATATGGGTAGGTAGGTAGGTAGAAATAAAACACGATTTTCTATAGTTTGGTTTGTAAGGATTAGTTATGTTTTTACGAGTTAGTTGATTTACGGATTGATATCAGTTAGAGAACAACCATTGAAAACCAGTTAGGGAGTTACTGCCAGACAGCTGTTTCATCGTAGTTCGGGAATCGTCGACTGTACGCACTCACTGGGGTCGCACTAAATCATGAATCGGTAGAAGTTAGAATTCACATGCACTGACCATTGAATCGGGTTGGGTCCCAGTGGCTGAATGGTATACGAGCTCGCTGGCCTTGTAACCGGAAGGTCCTGGGTTTGAACCCTGATAGGTGGGTGAGTACTACCCATGATGATTCCCAAACTAGGCTGATGAAACAGCTTGTTGTCTAGTACTCCTCCCTGTGGCTGGTTTTCAATGGTTCTCTAACTGACTTCAATCCGTGATCAACTCGTAAAAATGAAACACGATTTTTAGATAAAGAAAGAAAGACCGAATTTGCAGCATCGAATGATAATTATCAATTCTACTTCACAGGTTCTCCTTCATCTGCTGCACACACACACACACACCATTACCTGAAATTACACAATGGTTAACAAAAAGAATGATGTGAAATAAACATACTTCGGTGTGACTAGCCATCGACTGTTAGGCAGTGAGGGAAAATCAATCGATGAGGTTGTGAAGTTACATTGATTGAGATGGTTAGGAATAATATGTGCTGCGCATGCTTAGTCATCCATCGCCTTCCTCGACAAGAGGGCATAGGATCACGCCGGAGAGAATAACTTGTGGTAGTGGTCAAACCAAAACATGGTCTCATCAGTCAATAATTCTCAGCTCTTCTTCTATTTCAAAGAGAATGACAGACTAACAACACCAACCACAACACACTGTTTAGGTAATGTGAAAATGAAAAACGGGGGTTGGGGAAGAAAGGACTTACTTGATTTTCTTCTGGTAAAGGATTTAAATGTTGATGTCCAGCCGGTTGAGTCATATCTTGTTGACTAAAATATGAATAGACTGATTCTCCATCAGTATGATTAAAATTATGATGCCTAAACGGAAAGAAAATATACCAAAATGTAAAGATTAATTAACAGTTAAAGGATTCCGACAATTGAACAGTACAATCTAGTAATAATAGTTATAATAAGGAGTACTGATGTGAAATCAGTGCTACTATACAGATCGCAGACTTGGCCAGCACGTCATAAAGAGCACCTCAAACAAACTACAGACCTTCACCCAATACTCAAGATCAGATGGCTGGCCAGAAAAGATCAGCAACAGGGATCCCTGGGAATGCGCGAACCAACCCAGCAGGAACCGATTGTGCAAGAAATAAGCAGGAAGAAATGGAAATGGATTGGCCATACTCTGAGGAAACTATCAAGTGATTGACATCACTAGACAAGCCATTACTCGAGTGGAACGCATCCGAAAGGGAAGTGGCGAGTTGGTCGTCAGTGCAAGGGTGGGGTGACTTGAAGGAGGTCATGTGAAGAGGAGATGAAAGCATGTGAGCAGACTTGGAGCGGGTTGAAAACGTTGGCAGAGAACCCAACGGAATGGAGACGCGCGGCTGAAGCCCTATGACCCTCTAGGAATTAAAGGAGATAATAATAATAATATAATAAGGAGTCGTAATCAGTGGGGTCCGTCCAACAAGTCAGATGAGAGATGGTTAGTTACTCGCAACTATAATATTAGCCGGCGGTTACGCTATATATATATATATATATTGGCGGGAGCTGGAATTCTTGGGATGTCCATTGGTCGGAGTCCCAGTGGCCAACGAATGGTCTACGAGCTCGTCTTGTCTTGTAACCAGAAGGTCCTAGGCTCAGCCCCCAGCTGGAGAAGTCCCAAGAAATTAGGAAAAAGACGGTGTCCACACTCCCCCCCTGTTGGTTTACAGTGGTTCTCTAACTAATATCAAATCGTGATCAAACCTGTAATAATAATAATAATAATAATAATAATAATAATGGAGAGGATTTGTAGCTCAGGTGGACGATTTTGATTTAGTTGCGTTCTCTTAACCGGTTGATGATTTAACTGCGACGCCTTCGTTGTCCTTCTAGACAACATCTTCAGAGGAGGTTTTAGTATGGAATGAACTTGTTTGAACTCTTCATGAATGGTGTTCCTTGACGGAGATGGGCTATCCGAGTAGATTCATAAAAAACATATGAAAACATCAGAGAGAAAACTTGGCACTATGACTGAATGTAAAAAAACCTCTGTTTATTAAGTAACAGTTTAATGGTGACTTATCAAGTGAGATTCTATTCCAAAGACTTTCAAGGAGTATACGAAGAACATTTTACGCATCACACGTATGTTTGTCATTCTCTAGCCGATGAATGATTGGGACGCAAACGAAGGATAGGCTGCCTCCAAAGCCTCAGGATGGTCGGGGGTGGGTGCCTTGCGCTGCGGGTTGGCCACTCCTCCGCACACCTCTTGAAATGCTCCCATATGATCGGGCGTCTTACATAGCCTCTCCTGAGGAAGTCCTACTCATTGCCTTCACGTGGCGGAGGTGTTTCTCACCAAAGTGAGAGGGCGAAAGCGGATGCCCGGCGCTCTCCACCGAGTTGACTGTCCATTGGATGACAGTCTAGGGGAGATGGCTAAACCCTGATTCCAAACCTCCAACGACTGGCGTATGAAGCTCACTGGAGCTCACCGGCAGTCGTGTGGACAAAGGGCTTGTTGGATGTCCTGGATATCTGGCCCCATTCAAAAAGGCGTATGAACCGAACTCCGGTCACCAGCTGCCAATGGATAGTGGAATCCTTACTCCACTCCTACTGCCTTGTAGGTCACACTTGGCTGTGTAAAGGCTAGAGCTGCACTCTCAAACAAAAGGCCGAGCGATGCTGGGGACATCACTCGTACCAAATTCCCATGAAACTTCATGAACTCTCTTACAAATTGCCGCGCCTGAGCAGTGATGATTCGAGACGTTCATGAAGCCGGCTCATCCTCCCGTAGGAGATAGCCGAAGTAAAGTAAAGTAAGTAAGTAAGCTAGATAGTTTTGCCACATCAATGCAACTGCACCTGCGGTGTCAGTTATGTTGGGCGTAGACTACTAGTCAGCTTAGCCAACGTATCATTACTGAACATCTCCCATCGTAGTGGTTTGGTAAAGGACATACAAAAACATGTATATGGACAATCCATGAATGTAATCATTTCCGGACTCACCCATGTCCTATAGAATCCATATGTTGTTGTGATTGTGGACTAAAATACCCAGGATACATTTGTGCTTGTTGCATTTGTTGTTGTTGTTGCATGTACATCGCCTGTTGTTGTTGTTGCTGATGTGATTGATAAATCCCCTCCTCCTCCTCCTCCTCCTCCTTGATGATGTTGTAATGATTGAGGTGTACTCATACCACCATTCGGATACATATGTAATGTTTGTTGACTATCACGATAATAGACAGCATTCATCATTGGTGGAACAGAACCACTACCACCACCAATCGATGGATCAGTCATCATAGAGGCTGTTAAAGGGCCACCACGTTGTAATAATGTGCCTAGAAGTATTTTGTTGTAACATTGTAAGAAAAAAGAAAAAACACAAAGATATTTTTTCAAAAAAAAAAATAAGGAAACAAAATGTACTTGCACAGATTTGATATCAGGTAGAGAATGATTGAAAACTATCCAGAGAGTTCGAACTCAAGGGCTTTCTAGTTACAAAAGTCACACTTGTAGACCAGTTCATCACCACTACTGGAACCCGACTGCTCAACGGCCAACCCATGGATTCTAACTTCTACCAATTCGTGATTACTTAGTGTGCTTTTGGAAGTGTGATTCTTCGAGTAGCTGAAACAGAAATAGGGTTAGTGTAGCGTGACCGCAGAGCCCAGGAGACAACTGCTTGAGCAAGGCCGGTCACACACGGCTTGTATGAACTGGTTTCTGGGATTGGTTCCGTATTAGTAAACTTACCACCGGTTACGGACCACCATTGGTGGGGTAAGTCGGGATATACAATTGTTGGGGTCGACCTTTTCTAACCCCTTCTCTCCGGCAAAGTGGAGAGACAGCATAGCTGATCGGCATGCTGGTCATCTGAGAGAAGCACCTCACTGCTGTTACACCCTTACACAATACCGGTAACTGCTTTTAGTCTAATCGCTCTGCTAACAACCTTCCTGGCATGGTAGAACCTGCAGGAACATTGGTTCCAGCCAGTGCAGCTTGTTGGGTCATCGCGATGTGCAAACCCGACCACCAGGTCAAGGTAGCAGCTATCGGTCAGTTCTATGTCGAAAACAGACAGACAGACAGGCGTGATTGCTTAGCACGACTGGTACGAACCAACCAGCTAATTTCATCACTGGCGTGAGTATTTTGTTCTCATTCCCTACCAGATGGAACCCGAGTGCTCACAACTTCTCACTAGAACTCCAGGAAACTTCTTCCTGTAAGGCCACTAGTCACTAGCAAGCATAAGGGATTTGATTTCGTTATTCGAAATCCGGTGGATGATGCATACTGTCGATGTGTCCCAAAAGACTAAGACAAAACAGCTGTGTGCGGGCAGTACTTCTTGGTTAGCTTTTCAATGGTTCTCTAACTGATATATCATGGTCTATGCTTGGTCAAACCTGAAATAAAATATACTTCCATTCACGTTTCCAAGCAAAATCTGAAGTCTGCCCAGCTTGTCTAATTATCATATAATTGGTTACTCTTTTAACACGGAATAAATGTCCACTTATATAATCTTTAAAACTATGTTGTTTATACTTTCTACCTGTAACTCGAAGTCACCATTTTGTAACATATAGCCGATCCAGTTTACCCTCAGCTTTCTTTCACCTTGCGTCTCCTCAAGTAGAACAAGAAGTAACTTCAGAAAACTGTATGCTCGCACGTCTAAGTATAGAAATTCCATGATACCATACTTGTCACGTATTTTATGTGATAGTGAAAATAGTGTCAGGCAAGAATTAACTAACCTTTCTCCTCATCTTGTAAATAAACAATTTCCTCCATCCATCCATCCTTATGTACCTTCAAGTTTTACTTTAATTATTTCTATTATATTTATGGTCCGGTTACTTTTCGGTTTTACTCTCATAATTGCAAACACCAACTTATCTCTATGACTTCTGTAATCTTTGTTTTTCCCCTCACCATATCATCATGTGAAGAGAACATTATATTCAATATTTTTAAACATGTTAGGATTTCTATACCGCATCGACAATACTGTGTGAAACAAGCCCACGGCAGTTCTCACTTGTATTATTATTATTATTTCCACTTTATATGCAGCATGTTTTGACATTACCTCTATTGTGAATGTGGAAAATTTTCTGTGTGATTAATTTTATTTATAATTTGAGGAAATTAGATGCAAGATATTGTGATTCATGCTGAAAATTCCATTCTGTATCACAAGTACTGTTTTTGAAATAAAGTGAATAATAATAATTATTATTATTTGCTTAGGATGTACGCAGTTGAAGAGGATTCAATGAAATAGAATGAGCTCGTATTATCCTGTCTGTAAATATTTGTGTTTGTTCCTTCTTTATTCAAACCAACTAATCAAGGGAACCAGATAGATAGATGTATATAAAAAAAAGAAGTGTATACTTCCAAATAATTTGAAAGAGCTACTTACCATAACCTGAACCATCTGGTAGGGAACCTCCACCGCCAGTTGGAGGTTCACGTTTCAACGAAGTAGTACCACTAGGTGTTACTGAAGATGGATAATAGCCTTGTTGTTGTTGGTTTGCCATCATTTGTCGATTGATAGTCCCTGTATTACTTGGTGCTGGATAAGGCGGTGGTAGACCAGAGGATGATTGTGGATGCTATAAAATAGTTTGAAATGAAAAAAAAACACGAACAGATAAACATTTTGATGCAAAACGGAATTGTAATTGTACCATATTTTTCTTTCAGTACTATAAAAATAACAATGCTTTAGTAAAGAAAATAATTAAGCGTGACAAATAAGTGTTATTTGGCTATCAATGAAAGCTAAATTCAAATGACTTTTTTAATTCAAAAAATACATCCAAGGGTGGTGGTACGTGATGATTCATCGACTTTATCACTCAGCTTTCAGTCAGTAGGTTCCAAAGTTCGAGTAGTATAATTATAATAATTATTATTATTTCCTTTAATTCCTAGAGGGACATAGGGCTTCAGCCGCGCGTCTCCATTCCGTTCGGTTCTCTGCCAACGTTTTCAACCCGCTCCAAGTCTGTCCACATGCTTTCATCTCCTCTTCACATGACCTCCTTCAAGTCACCCCACCCTTGCACTGACGACCAACTCGCCACTTCCCTTTCAAATGCGTTCCACTCGAGCAATGGCTTGTCTAGTGATATCAATCACTTGATAGTTTCCTCAGAGTATGGCCAATCCATTTCCATTTCTTCCTGCTTATTTCTTGCACAATCGGTTCCTGCTGGGTTGGTTCGCGCATTCCCAGGGATCCCTGTTGCTGATCTTTTCTGGCCAGCCATCTGATCTTGAGTATTGGGTGAAGGCCTGTAGGTCTGTAGTTTGTTTTCGGTGCTCTTCATGACGCTCCAAGTCTCTGATCCGTATAGAAAGTAGCACTGACTTTACATTGGATTTGGAAATCCGGATCTTGTTTCTCATGCTGAGTAGTGCTGTTGACCTCCACACAGACTTAAGAGTAATGAAAGCTTGTCTTGCTTTCCCGATCCTCGCTGCTTTGATATCCTCATCAGTTCTGTCCGTCTGTACTTGAAACGATGCTTCCCAGGTAGGTGAAGGAGGTTGTTTCTTTTAGGTTCCTCCCATTCATGCTGGCTGATTGTTGTCTGTTGTTGTGGTTGCTGCTGTTGGTGTTGCCCAGGAATCTTCATCAACCACCTCTGTTTACTCTGTGTTCACCTGAAGTCCTATCTTCTCTGAATGTTTCTTCTGCCAACTTGTTGCTTTTCATTTGCATATCTTCCAGTTTGTAGGAAATCAGACATATATCATCTGCGAAGTCCAGATCTGCCAAGTATTTTGTGTGGGCCCATTTTATGCCTGTCTCCTCGCTGTCCGCTGTCTGTCGCATTATCCAATCTACTGCAATCAGGAAAATCATTAGAGATAGCAGGCAGGCAGCCAGGCTTGTCTTACTCCCATCTTCACTTCAAAGGATTCCGTAAGTTTCCCGTTGTAGATTACTTGGCATGCAGCATTGTCGTACAACTGTTGGATGAGATGTATAATTGTTGGTGGCATCGAGTAGTAGCGAAGTAGTTGCCAAATCACCTCTCGATCGACCAAACACATAGAGCAAATGAAATACCGAAACACTTATCCAAAATACATTGAAAGCTAAAAACAATCTGCATTAAATATCCTCATATAATAGTTGATGTAAACTTTGCAATATATTCAGAACAGAATTTTAGTTTAAAAAAAAACATACTCTGTATTGTTTATTTACATATACAAATAAATGTGATTACCAATCAGTAGGGCACATAGAATCTTTAGACAAATTATTCTTTAGCCAACGCATTTGATTGAAATTGTGTGTCAAGAGAGAAATAGGATGATTGATCAAGAACAAATAAACAAACTAAGACAAGGAAATTCAATAATAATAATAATAACAACAATAATATCCAATGCATGAGAGGAGTTGAATATATGAGCTTATAAGAGTTGGATAAATAAGATGACTGATTAGACTGATTAGATGCTTCGACGATGTCTAGTCATTTAATTAGAATTTATTTGGCGGATGGTGACTAGCAGTGGAATCTACGAGGATGCGTGTTTCGTCCAGTTTGGGACTCGTCATCTGGATGTACCTGCATTTCCCAGTGGGCACTGGGTTCGAGCCTCCGTGGGAACATCATCACTCACTGAGGGGAAATGCAGGTACATCCAGATGACGAGCCCCAAACAGGACGAAATTCTTTGAGAAGAAGTCTTCAAATGTTTCACATGCAAATTTATCTTGTCGAATGTAAGTTGATTCTACAGGAATACATTACATCGACTCACTCCAAGTTTAAAAATACGGAGGGAGTGAAGTGTTAATGAAGTGTGTTGACCACTTCGGACACTTATTGGGGAAGTTGTATCAACCCCCAACAGGTTGATGGCTGACGAAATTTCAGCACGGATATATAGAAGGTTTAGTGTGAGATTTGCTAATCCTCAGCATATCTGGCGTAGACGTCATATCCAGCTGACCAGCAGTTCACACCGTCCTCTTTTATGTCTGTGTGACATCACCATTAAAATTGGAAGATATGAGGAAAGGTTAGCCGTCTTTGATCATACGTGTCCATGTTTTTCTGTCCATGTTAAATGGTATGATAGGGTGAATTTTGGGCGTTGACGTTGTGAAGCTACACATCAATAACGGTGGTGGTTAGGGCAACATGTATGAGGCATACCTAGTCATCGCCTTCCTCGACCGACGAGCAATATTAGCTGACATGGAATAAAGTTGAAAAAACAGTTATTGTTGGTCCAACCAAAACGTGGAATCAACAAATTAGGGTGGTGGTGTAGACTGTTAGTCTGTTTGCGGTTCCTAGGATTCTAAGAATTGATGGTTGGAAACAACAATTGGTGACGATATGGCTCAAAATCGTTCTTAATAGTGGCGCAGACGGATGCGTTCAGCCTTTGAGATCTGCCATATCCAAATTAAAAGCCTATTGAGTTTCCCTTGAAAACTGATACGATGCTTAATAGCTACTGGCCCTATTCAGGCAGATAACTACCTGCCTGTGACTAGTAGGGTACAGCAAGTCGAAAGTGACGACAGTTACTCATCGAAGAAGAAGAAGAAGACACTGTTAAGTGATCAAGCTATGCCATGAATTGGCAGAAGTTGGAATTAATAGGTTGCCTGGCCATTGGATCACTCTGTAACCAGAAGGTCCTGGGTTCGATCACTGGTGGTGGGTGCGCACTGCTGAATAGTCTAAACGAGGACGAAACAGCTGTCCAGTACTCCTAAGTTTTCCAGTGGTTCTTTAACTGATGTCAGCTCATGATGAAATCCTCAATACAATCAAACAAAATCCCTACAAAACCAATACTTGAAAATTAATCTGATGCTCACTAGCGACTGGCCCTATTCAGGCAGTTAACATGGGGTTCTAGTGGGAAGTCGTGACCAGTAGGGTACAACAGGTCGAAGATGAGGCAGAAACTCATCGAAGAAGACATTGGCTAGGGATCGCGCTATGTCGTGAATTGGCAGAAGTTAGAATTCGTGGACTGGCCATTGGATCGGGTCCCAGTGGCTCAATGGTCTACGAGCTCACTATCCATGTAACTGGAAGGTCCTGGGTTCGAATCGTTGTGGTGGGTGCGTACTGTTGAAGAGTCTCAAACTAGGCTGATGAAACAGCTAGCTGTCCAGTACTCCCAGCTTGTTTTCCAGTGGTTCTCTAACTGATGTCAGCTCATGATGACATCCTTCAACTAGTCAAACAAAATCCGTACAAAATCAATCTTAGATAATACAAAATGGTGTTTCAAAGTTAGCTGGCAGATATATATATGCCTACATAACATAAACACTACGTGTTTTTATTGTTTATGTAATTGTGAAGGTATTTCGTTTTCGGCTTACAATACAAAAAAAACAAGAAGTTTAAGTGATATTTAATACAGGGAATTGAAGAGGAGGAGGAAGAGGTGAAAGATGGGAGAGAGAGAGAGAGTGCGAGAGAGGGAGGGAGATGAACACAGAAAGATGTTATGCAAATGTTCGTTACACATAAACACATATAAATAAAGTGCAAAATAATGGTGTTCACTTTCGGGAATTATCCTTGTAACATGCACTTACAAATACAGATAATAATAATAATAATAATAATAATAATAATAATAATAATAATAACGGTGATATTTATGTATGTATGTATATAGGGAACACAAGAGACAAAGGAAATGTCTTTGTACATTGCAACCTAACAGGTGAATGGATTATTATTATTATCAGAAGTAATAGTATTATATCTAATGTGTCATGACTTTAATCACAAGGGGGAAAAGCATTAAATAAACAGACATTTGTAATGTAAATGTAACTTTCATATCTGTGTGTCTCTATCGCTTCGACCGACTTCTTTAAGGCACAGAACCATTAGCATTTAAAACATTTAACTATCTAACGAAGTAATTGAGACGATAATAGGTCTGTCAGGTGGAGTATAAAGTGGAATACAACAGGGCTTCTCTGTCCTGTTTCCTGAGGTCCTCTCTCTTAAGCTGGACACCCACGACTACCACTAGACTCTCATCATCTCCGCGTTACATGATCTCCTCCAGGTGATCCATGAAGTCAAACTTGACTGGTTCCACTCGACAGATAGCTTGCCTCAAAATATCACTGAACGGTCTCCTCAATGTGTACACCCTCCCCCCTCCCCCTGTGTATTTTCTTCGGGATATTTGTTGGGTAATAATGGATGATTTATGTTTGATGTCACTGTCACAAAATCGAAAACTTACAAGCGAAAGCCTCCCGACAAACTGGTCAAAGAAGCAGCCGGCGAACAAGACAGGACTCCAGGTGAACATAGACAAGACGGAGGTTATGAAATAACCAACCAACTAACAACAAAAACAAAACGATAGCAGCAGCATCCAGAGCCAATCACCATCAACGGGAGGGATTTGAAAGAGGTTACTTCATTCACTCACTTATCTAGGGAGCATTGTCCCAAGTACAGGCAGTCGGAACGGACGAGGATGTCAAATCGAGCGAGAATCGGGAAGGCGAGAAACATGTTGTTCATCAACCTGAAACCAATCTGGAAATCTTCGTCACTCAGCAGCATCAACAACAAAATTCGGTAGG